AAATACTGCTACAAATGTAGCAACAGATATATTATTCCCCCCACCTCCTATACTACCTGAAAATAAAGCTAAAGAGGATAACTCAGGACTCACTTCTCCAATAAAAAGTTTCCATGGAGAAATTGGGATTGTATATCAACAACAGCCTCATGTTTGTTTCCCTCATAACATATTATGGACAATAGAACAGCATATACCTATTGGAGAAATTGCTCAGAAAATAAAGAAAATTCTTGATGATACTAATCAATATTATACTAGAGCTACAAAAAAAAACTGATGTAGAAGCATTTGACGAAATGATGGAATTATTAAAAAGCGTATTCTTCAAAAAAATGATTTACGCAGAATACTAACACATTTGTATTATGAAACTCAAACTTATGATAGGAACATTCATCTTGATATCCCAATATTACCAGATTCTCACCTAAGAGAAATATATGTTTCAAATTCGGCTAATCCAAGTAAAACTCAATTATTGCTGAAAGTAAGTCAAAAAAGGATCATTCTTCCAAATGAAGATTTGTCAGGATTTTTAGATGACATACAATCAGCTTTTACATAATATTTAACACTAAATTTTACAGAATTCTATGAAGCAACAGGATGGCAAATTAACGCAGTATACACTGGAATTGCAACTAGAATTTTAGCATTAAATAATCAATTATCCGATTTAATCACAGGCTTAGATGGTAAGCATGGATTACAACATTGTTTACGACAATTAACAAGAAATGAATTCAACAAAGCTATTAAGGAAATATTAAACCATGAAGAAAGTTGGATCCCAGCAGACTCACTAGAAACGTTCGTACATACAAACCCTCTTACCACAGGTAAATTCATTAATTGTAACCCTGATACAGTAACCAATACTCCAAATTCTGAATGTATTTACAAAATGATAACTTTAATACCCATCTTAAGAGATAGCAATATTTACAATGTACTGAAATAATTAGTAGCTCCTGTCTACACAATGATGAGGATGGTACTGGAAAATGGAAAATTGTCAAATCAACTTCACCAACAATACTCATCAGCAAAAACAATGCTGTATCTTACGAAAGTGACAAACTCCCAACATGCATAGAACAACAACATTACTATTTTTGTAAATTATGCATACCATCACATATGTTAAGTTGTCCTTTGAGTAATTGCACAACTTCAATTTTGGCAGGGAGAACAAATGCACAAATAAGAGCAGCATGTAATCTAATTGAAATTGAAACACCTGATAAGGAAGTTATACAATTAGACAAAGACAAGTACATTTATGTCAACCCTTCTGATATGCACAAAGAACCAGAATCCAAAGGAACAGTAACTCAAGAATGCAAAGATGTTAATGGAAAATTAATCACCAACCAATATGAGTTACCTAGTTCTGGAGTACTTTGATTTCAACCAAATTGCAGCTATCATTTTGTCAATGGTCCAATCAATAGTATCATACCAGATATTGAAAATGTAGAAATCACATCTACCTACACTAAACCACTGCCAAAGAAAAGATTGAACTTACTTAATCTATCCTGGTTAGAAACTCATTTTAAAAATTATGGTCAATACTATTTGATTGCATTAATAGTTACAGTAAAGATAATATTAAGTATTATTGGATACTTTTTCTACATACGTATAAGAATGATCAAATATCCCAAGAAGAAAATTGTCACTGACATAATTGAAAATTTACTTCCAAATCAAGATACCATCTGACCCAATCAAAAGAAATTATCCATCCAAGAAATTTGCAAGGCTCAAGAAAATATTCAACTTCTAGACAATATTCCTACTGCCCCAACTGAAAGACAAAACCTTCCTGGAATTGAATTTTATTTAGTCCCCAGACAAACAGCCCCAAGTACTCTTTATCCATCAATTACAATCAAGAATTGAAAAATTTTTGGAGAAAAGGAGAAATAGACCTTGGCATGGAAAAGGAAAAACAAGAAACCTTGTATTTTTGTATATACATGTTTGAAAAATATACGCTGATATCTTTGATATGCTTATACTTTCCAAATGAAGACGCTTATTGAAAAACGCTTATATCTATATACCATGGGCATATATTCAAAACATGGGCATATACATATTTTTCAACTTTTGTATTTGAAGAAAGAATTCACGTTTGCCAAGAAAACTTTATATATTTGCAACCAACAACGCAACCAGATTGAAAACCAAAATCATTCAGCAGAATTTATTTCTATCATTTCAACTGCTCCAGTTCTCGATTCAGCGTCATCCAAATCATTTAGAGGAAGCAATGGATAAAATCCCAACCAATACCTAATCCAAAAGAAGCATTCCGAAAAACAGTTTCTTGAAAAGTAAATACAAAGAGTTAAAAAGATTAAAGCCCCAGCAAAAGCTAAAATAATTATAATGACAAACAAAATATGAAAACCGAATGGGAAATAATTGCGCGCATCAAAATTTGAAAAATTGCGTTTTTGGTTTGTGAAAATTGTGGTCAATAACAACGCCACCTGAGTGGTGAAAGACACCAACGTCAACGTGGAGACTGTGGTTAAAGCAACTGATGCCGTCACCAATGCCTCCTGTACACCCTCTGTTGAAACCACTACTACACCAACCTCCTCCACCTTTGTCACCGAAGTTGAAACCCGCAACAATCCCTGTGTGGATGTCACCTGTTCCTGTTCAACCTTACAACCCTTGCCTTCCACAAGGATCCCCTCCTAAAAACCACTACATGAAGTATCATCAAACAGCCAAAGTTCCTGAACAACAAACAAACTCAAGAAATTGTGTTTTGTGATTTGTTTTTTGGCGATACTCACTGTAATAATCCCATTCTGTTGCGCACAGTCCAAATTTGCTTTGTCCCCAGAAAAATGAATAATCCCATTCGCAATAGCAGAATCAGAAACATATGCCCCGCATAGATCTGAACACCACCAAATGTTATTTAATACATAACAATTGGGATGGAAATTAATAATCACTGCTACAATTGAAAGTAATCCCCCTTTAGCTATCATTTTTTTGTTTGGATTTGAAAGGAGACTTTAATGTAACTACCCAAATGAGAGAAATCCCCATCCTTACTCAGGAAAGAAAATTCACATCTCTCATCAAAATATCACAGAGGCACTTGAAATACTTGCAAATAATTATCGAGTTTAAAAATCTGTCAAGCCATTTGGAGTGGATGTCAGATTCATTTGAATGAAGAAAAAGCAAGCTTTTTCTTGTTTGTGCCAGGTGATTGTTATTGGTGGAAATTCCCCAATAATAATTTGCTTTGAAACTCGCCTGCGTTTCTAGAGACACGCATGCGTTCTCTCGAGAGCTTGCCAAAGGCAGCGCTTGCACACCAGCAAGAAAGAAAGAGAGAAAGACTGAGAAGGGATGAGATAATTATTTAGAATATTATCGCGTAATATAATAATCATCTCCAAACTCCTTTCAGTTCCAAGAACCAATTAATCATTGACAGGCGCCCCTCCTGACCCAATTACGCACGCATGTACATGCAACAAACATCTGGGATTCCCCACTCTGCGGTTCTTCCCAAAGCACATGTACAATCACGTAATTGCAACTGTGCAGTTTCCAGAACTTTCTGTGTTCCCCTTCTGGGTTTTGAGCAGTATATAAACCCTGGTCAAAACCAGGATTAGCAGCCAGTTGTGCATTGACTTGTGAAGTGACCCTTCTGGTATAATCCTCTGTGTTTGCTGGTGTCTCTGGATTGTGTTGTGTGGTGATTATTACGTAGTAATAATAAAGACTATTTCTGTACTATTAAAGTACTTGCTGGTATTCTTTATGCATACCTCTAAAAGTAGAGATACACGAATCTAAGGTATTTCTGAGATAAAGTAATATTCTCAGTTATTCCCAATAAGGGGATAACAGACCATTTGAAATAACCATTGCAGAAGAGAAAGCCAAGAAAAATGGTTGACAGAAAGAAGTCAAGAAATAATGAGAAGACTGAAAGCCAAGAAAAATGGTTGACTGAAGCCATAAAGAAATAATGAGAAGATCCAAGGCTAAGAAATCTCAACCAATAAAGAAAGTGATTCGCCAAAAAGAAAACATGTCCAATCTTCAAAAAAAATCTTGCCACCAATGGCGGAGAGGGTGCATCACTGATTGGCAGATCTTTGAGGCAAACTGTTTGGTTTTCTTTCTGACTGTGTTTTCAAAAAGTGGATCAACTTTTCCAACTATATGTTCTTGTGCTTGTTGGAGTGATCCAATAGTCTGTCTTCTTGATGAAAAGAAGAGAAATACATCTTAATCTTAAACTTTAGTCCTTATTAAATAAGGACAGGCCAGCTACCCAGGTGACTGCTATGTTCTCTTTCCTTCTTCCTTTCCCTCTTGTATGGAAAATTTTCTCCAACTCCTTGAAACCCTTTTAACTGTGTTGCAGAACTGTCAGAGATTCAGTGACACCCATCCTGAAGGTTTGCTGCTGGCCTCATGGCTCCCACTGACCCACACCATGCACTTTTTTTCTTGTTCAACTGGATTGTTGAAAGTGATTTCAAGAGATAAAGATTTTAAATTAAACATAGGTTGAGCAATCCAGTCGACCAGAAAGAAAGTACATGGTGTGAGTCACTGGAAGGAGCGAAGGCAAGCAGCACACCTATTCTCAAAAATAGTGAGCAACAAACAGCATCTCCCTTGGAAATGAAATGGATACATGGGTGAATCACTGTATTTTCATGCATAAGATATTTCATATTTTTCCAATGCAAGAATTCATGTACAATCCAGCAGTATTCCAACAGAATGCTTTGCAATGAACATCCGAAGAAAATGAGTGAATTCCAAAAGAGTCCATCAAAAATATGAATATATCTTGTTTTTGGGCAATGATGGTCATCATTTGTGCCAGAAGAACCTCTCTTGTTCAACAATCTGGCGATCCTTCATTGTGAAAATTACATATTCGAGCTTCAATTACCCTCAGGCTGTCTCAATTTTTTCCTTAATCCAGTTCACAAAGTGTGACACTCGGGCATAGACTCCAGGAAACCCAGGCTTTGCGCATTCAATGCCCCAAGAGACAACTCCAACAAGTGTGTTTGTTTCTTTGTCCACCAGTGGCCCTCCAGAATCTCCCTACAAGACACATGGATATATGCAGAGAAATATTTGAGAAAAACCAACATTATTCCAGCAAGTCCCAACAGAAAGCAAATCTTGCACATCTTAAAACCATCTTGTTGTTAGATTATTACTCACTATCATGCAGTTCTTTTATCTCTTAATTTTCCAAATAGTTTTCAGTAATGTTGTCTAAACCAGTTTCCACAACCTTTTTGGGTCCATGGAATGAAAAGTTTCCTAGAAAATATTTTGCGGACCTGCAAACTTCACAAAGATTTTCTGTTGAATGGCAAAGTTTCATCATGATTACAACAGCAGAAATGTTTCGCTTGAAAGACTTTAGGGGGAGCATTTGATAAGTTTCTGCTTTCTTTGAATAAATTTTTTTTTATGAAGCAGGTGTAGTGGAACTCTGAAAAATTAGGAAGGTGTGCTTGAAGAAAGGTTTCTCAGAATGGAAGAATATAATAATACATTTCAGTGGGTGAAAATTTGTCTGAGTTGGTATTAGGAGAAAAGATAATTTTTATTTTTCCATCAGATAATTAAAAATACAAATGTCTTTACAAAATTCCAAATAAATATGACAGACTTCATTGCTAATATCGATCAATTTATTTGGCTGCAGAAAATTCATGCAGACCAGCAAAATACTTCTGTGGACTGGTGCTGGTCTGCAGTCCACTAATTAGAGAAAAATGGTCTAAATAACTTCTGAGAATACCTGGTAAGACCACATTACATAGAAATATGAATGAAACAATTAGTGTTGAAACAAATATTCAGTAAACATATATACAGGAACAAACTTTTCTGCAGTCCTAGCAGAAAATGCATAGAGTTCATGTTGGAACAATCTCATTAGATTAAAGTTTCCAATGTCAGTATAAAAACGTTTTGCAGCATTTTTAAAAAAGATTCTGCAGGCTGAAAATTTCCTGAATAAGGCAGTTATACACTGAAATTTCTGATCCCAAAGTTGACTGACTGGTTTTTGCTGCATGGATGGAAGCTGCAATCAATGACAAACATATTTTAATTGGTTCCATACAATTACATCATACTCACAGAAACAAGAAACTGGTGCAATTGATGGATTTCATGGTGAGTGAAGCTAACTTTTCTATAGATCACTCAGTTTTTCAAACAATGATGAAATCTCAGAATTCCAGAGAATAAGACACATCAAATAGAGTACTGTATATATTGACAGGTGTGATGTAAAAATTTTTTAGACAGCAATTTGTAAAATCTTGCTATAACAAACTTCCTGAGGTTCCCAGAAGTTTGTTGTAATGATGTTATATTATGTAATGTAATTCAAAATGACTAAAATACATACGAGGTATGCCTAATACAATTATTCTTCATTTCGGACCGTTTCACAAATTGAGGCCATCCATAAAGCGTAAAACTTGGAGAAAATCTTACAGTCGAGTCGAAGTGTCCAGTATACAATAATTGCATATTAGTTCATCCTTGCACGAAATCAAACAGCATAATTTGGCTGATGAACCTAGGCTCGAAGGCATACTCAAGACTTGAGCGACTTACTTGGCATGTGTCCACTGTGCCACTTTCAACTCCTGCACAAATCATGTCCTCAGTCAGGCTGTTGAAGGAAAGTGAATAATTCCCCTTGCAAACATCAAAATCGATATGATTCACTTCTGCCCACTGCAACTCAGAAGGACTTCCGCCCCCATAGCTCAACCTACCCCATCCAATGATGAGAAGGGAGGCACCTTAAAAAATTCTTATAATAAGTTAGTTACCCTATTTACTGGAGTACCACACACAACTTTTTTCCAGAATGTAAGGCAGAAAAAAAAGGTGTGCGCGCATAAAATTTTCAATGAAAATTTTGAGAAAACCCTGCGGGTCATAAGCAGGTACATTTAACAAATAATAAAAGAGGAAATTGGTGCTGCCCAGTCTCATTGTTCATGTGGAAATATGGTTGAAGCCATGGCAATTTTAGGAATAGTGCATTACTTTTAAGCAGGGACAATTTTTCTCCTATAAGAATCATATCTGAGATGTAACAGGAAGTAAAAACTGTGGCAAATTGTCATCTATAATAGCAGAAGCTGCCCTTAAATGCAAGCCCATTCATCTGCTGCTCCTGTAGATATTAAAAAGGAGGGAGGACAAACTATTAATGTTCAAAAATGGATCCATATGCAATAGCCACAAGATTTCAAAACATTTAGTGCACTACAAATCATACACCACCAGGATTTGACAGTGCAAAAAAATAAAACATTTACAATTGCATCCTCTCACTTCTAGTAAGAAGTTGAGAGTGATTTCAGAGGCTGAACACATGGGGGAATGTGCAGCAGGTTACAAGTTTGATACTTCTGAGTCCTATATTCAAGTCTGGAGGCAGCAAAATCAATACATTCCTTTTTCAGTAGTAAAAAAATATGTTTTTTAAATAAATTTCTGGCTAGCAAAAACTGGGGTGCGCGTCATACACAGGGATAAGTTTTTGGGCAATTTTCACTCCAAAAATTGGGGGTGCAAGCCTTACTTGAGGGCACTTGGTACTCCAGTATATCATTTTTCTCAAGAGAATAAGTTTTTACATGGGTAACATTTCCAATCACAAACCTGGTAGCAGAATAAGGTCATGTGAAGGCAGTCCAATTGGAGAAACGAAATCATCAAATGTAAGAGGTTTATGGAGCTTGAGCAAGCAAACATCATTTGTTGGACGTCCCCTTCTGTCCCTGTTTACAAAAAAAAATATGGAATATTGACCATATTATCGAGTATGCATAATTACAACTTTAAGCAGTAGCTTCGGTTTTTCACTGCAGTTATTTTTTCTATTCATCCTCAGTTTCCACTACAGTAAAATATCGTCATAACAAATACCATTGAACTTCGCTGATATTGAAAAACCGTGGAATTGAGCAATTTTTATTGTAAATCACACTAAATTCTCATGAAAACCAAATTTTGAGGACTTGAGAATAAGTTTGTTGTAGCGAATAATTTCTTATGAGGAGATTTTTAAAATTAATGCATGGAAAAAATTCCCCTTCCGACCTGCCTATAATCAACTAGCATTGAAGAAATAAATCTTTGTAAAATTCTTGAAAATCATGGGAAAAAATGTTTCTTTTTCCTGAAAAGAACTCACACAGCATATCCTTCATGGATGATCACGTCAACCTGGGATCGGATCTGTTCAGTTCCATCGTCTTCGTTTATATTGTGATTACCGGCATGAATCTAAATGGAACACAGCGAAATATTTCTATTTATTAGAAATAACCTGGTTTTAATTGGACCTGATGGTAAAAGTTTGAAGAAAATTGTGCTCACAGTCGCTCCCTCAGCACCAGAGCAGCAATGAGCAGCCGTTAGTATAAACGTTTCCGTCAAAATACTGCCACCACATCTGAGGTGATTCCCATGGAAACTTGCAGAAATCACGAAAGGAAATTGGCCGTGTTTCGCTGTCTGGCCACCGACGATTCGACCATCGGTGTGATGCTGCTCCGATGTACTATTATCCAAATACCTCTCTGCTGAAAAGCAAAATGCAGTTGGACTTGAATAACTCAAACTTCCCTGCATCGATTTTTTTCAAGTCTCTCAAAAAAGGAATGAAATGAAAACCTCACCAAGCTTGAAAGGTTTCCCCCTCAAATATCTGTAACTTGAAATTTCAGGAAGGCCTTTTGGCTGTTTTTCATTGGCATGGGAAAGAGCAACCAATGCGCTAAAATTTAATGAATTATTTTTGTAGTGAAAACCAATTGGGCAAATAAACCCTCCTAGTTCAGCCTACTGAAAGCTCATTTAAAAATCAATTTAAGGCCTGGAATCACCCATTACAATTTCTTGCTCTCTTCTTCTCTCAACAAAAATTATAGTTTCCCTAATACAGTACAGTGAGACCCCAAGATGCAGACTTAATTAGTGCATCATGACTGTCCTGATGTTGGAATGTCCCTAAGTCAAATCCAATTTACCTAAAGACTTCAATTCTAATATATTTTAGTGGTTCTCCTTTTTTCAAAAATTATAAATGAGTCCTCAAAAAATTTGATAAAAATTGCTTCCCTCAACTTGAAGTTGTAGAAACCAACAGTACAGAACAACCACATTGTAGCTGATCTTTTGGTATCAAAATGAAATACAAAAAAGCAAAGAAAAAGAATAAGGTCTTGCTAGAATATGCACTTCAAAATACTCTAAAAAGAGAAGCACAAAATCATTGCTAATTGGTAAGCTTGCTTTTGGTCATGAATTAGAGTGAATTTACTTGAACTATTTTTGAATTTTTGTGCATATAAATAACGTGATTTGTTTGAAAGGTGTCAAAATTAAAAATAAAATGGTTCAGTTTTATAAGTTGCAGAAAAGTGTCCCTAACTTGAGCCAATGTCCTGATCTTGGGCCTAATTATGTTTGTTGTTCCAATGTCCCTAAATCAACTTGTCTGTATGTGGATATTGGGGTCTCACTGGTCTCAAAACCTCTTTAACTAAATGTTTCTGCTTGTACCTTTGGAGTTCAACTTAAGAGGGTTCAACAATATTTTTGTGAAGATTCATTCATTCATAATTTTCTTTTTTATGCCAAGCATTCCACACCATCTGAACTGAACTTCTAAAAGACTTGGGATTCACACATTTCAATAAATAGGTTATCACCTGAATCTTGGAGGACCAGGGAACAGTGTTAGCTCCATATGATATCTCCTCAAAAATCTTTTCTAAATTGTTAAATCAATTTATAATTATCTGGAAACTGGCTGAATACCTTGAGCTTTAAATAATGACCACTATAATTGTACATGGTGTGCAATTTCATCAAAAAAGGGTGTCTACCAAAGAATTCATGAATTAGTATGTCCTGTCTCCTGTGATGTATATATATATTTTTTGAACAGGCATGTTTTGTTGGAAGGGGGGGGGGGGTTAACCTTGGGAATGTTGACTAGTATAGAAAATATGTAATATTCAACTACTGTATCTTTCTATCTATGACAATTTCTAGATATACTTTTATGAACTCACTTTTAGCAGCACATGCCACAGATATTATCAAAGAAATGCACAACACTGATCTTAGCATTTTTTTTTTGGATTTCACAGTGATTATTTTGCTCTCTTTTTTAATGCACTTGCTGATGGTGAAGTTTGTGAGAAATAAATTTTCGAGTTTGTCATTTATATAAGGACTCACGTGGACACGCCTAAACAATCCGGAATATGTCATGGAATGTACTGTATATCGAATGAGTCTCGTTTCTGTCGTTCAAAGGCATGACGGAGTGATAAAATTTGCATCCAGCTGCGAAATTAAGTATTGTACTTTGAATCGTTTTTTATGTTCCACTGAATTTCATACTTATTGTACGTTTCAGAGCTTTTCACGCACTACGTGATTTTTGCACCTGTGAAGGTTGGCCCTGAACAAAGATTGCTTTCATCTATCGATATGTTCCGTGTTTCATCATGGTCACGTTCATATTTTTATTTGATTTCATACAAAATTGTATGTGTGTTAATTCTGAATGGATACCGAAATTTGAAACATTTGAAGACTCGATCGAGCCTGAGAAACGTTTATTTTGTCAATTTTTGACTCCGGAATCGAGTGAATACTGTACTCTATTTATGTCCAAGAAAATGCCAAATTGCGATGAAATTTGAAAATTGATTGGATTGAATCCCGTTTATGAATCCTATCGATAAAAGGTAGTCTTTTACGAGAGGGAATAAGTGAAGCTTCAAATTGTTCACGCTGTCACATTTTAAAAAGCAAAAAATATGCATTTTCAACCATAGAATTGAGAACAAACTTTCCAATTCTGCCAATTAATACAAAAAGGTGCGAGAAATACTCATGTTTATCTGCGTGGGTCAGTCTTTAACATGAAATAACCGTATGAATAAAAAACGCAGAAATTTCCAGTGAACGATGTTTAATGCATTATTATTCGCTTTTAATCATTGCCAGATTTCAACAAAATTGCTGCATAAAATGAAAATCAGATTCGGATGAACTTTTGCTATTAGCACTTTTTTATTTTTCATGCTCGAATCTGAGTCTGCATCCATGAAAGGCCCGGTATTTTAAAACTTCGACTTTGAAAAAATTAAAAAAAATTATTTCATTGCATATGCGTATCTTGAAAATTGAGCTTCACTTTTTAAAGCTTTTGTTCATATTTTTGATCATTTTTAACATATTTGATCATTATACTGCATCGTGTTTTGGAAATAAAATAGGTCAGAATAATTTTTACGTTTCTATTATTCTAGGTCTGCTGGAGACAAATGTCAGATTTCGAAGTTTTTTCTGATTTCTGAATCACGATAAAATGGAAAACCTCTAGAAAAATTTCGGTAAACATTTTCGAACCAAAAAGAGCACCATTAATAAAAGCCAGGAATCATCATTCATTTCGTGCAGCCTGTTTTGCCAATTATATCTGTTATATCCAAAACAAACATTGATTGCAACGTTAGTCTAATGTGGGAGAATGCATTTTGAATCGCTGAAATGGTTAAACTGGTTTCCACTGCAAAATAATTAAAATTCAAGCTTTTATGTGAGAAGAAGTGACTCATGTATTTTCCTGCCTTCCGTCAAAGTGCAAAAAAAAAAATCCAGGAATTGCCTGTTAAACACTTCAATCTTTGAACACCAAAAATGAAATCAATTCAGTAATTTTTCGCCATCGCTTTTTCCGCAGGAATAGCTCGCATTTTTCCATTGACCTTGACAAACACGAACGGTTTCGAGTTTCCGTCTTTATCGCAATCTTCCTGCAGAATCTCATCAGAGATGCGAGAAATCGCAGAAATTGGTTGCTGATTGTCCAATTTCCGATTGAAACGAGTTCCGAAATCCTTCGCCTCATCCGAGGAATTTGCAGAAAGGTTCGAACCAACAGCCCACGAAAGGTATGGCCAGTCTGTTTTTGCAGAAGATTTTGCGGAATCCAAGGTAGGTGTCATGACGGGTACCAGACCATCAATGATTGATTTCTGGATGCCTTCACGACGCTTTTCTCCAGTGACAGACCTATATATTGGGGAAACATTAAAATGCATCAAAATGATGTTACTTCCAACTACTGGTGACCTGATAAAGATTTGTGTTGACACAAAAATTGTCACATTGAGATTCATGGTTTTTAACATTTTTTGAACTGGAATTTTTGTAGGAAATGGGTAATAAAAACCAAAATGTGTTTCTAAAAACAGATAATCCAAAACCTGTCATAATTTCTGTACCTCTAATGAAATTAAGAGAATTTTTTTTTGAAAATATACCGGTACTACTCTACTTTTATTTATTCTGCTTTTTAATATGGTGCTTTTTGTCCACAGAAATGAAGCAAAATCACATGTGTTATAAATATTGTACAGTACTATACTTATTTCTGAATCAACTTTTCTACGCTTACCTGTTTGTTCTTCAAAATCAAGGAAATTTCTTTCCTTACTGTTAATTTTAAAGAACTCAGGCATAAATTTTGCCAGATGGAGCTGAAGAGTTTCCAATCAATGTTTCATGTTGTGTATTTTTTTAATGCTAAATTTTCTCTATGGAAAGGTATTATTTTTGATGAAGATGGGATTTTGCAGTTCAATTTTTTTACACTTTTCTTCCAAATTCAAAATTCTCCTTATGGCCTATATCCACAAAATCAGGACCAACACGCTGTTATACTGATGACACAGCAAAAGATGTCTTGGTTACAACAAGATTTTCATAGCAGTGCACATGATATAAGGAGAAACTGCAAGGATCAAGACAAATTTGTTCTGATGGAGAATCTATTTTACCAAGATTCATTGCAATGGAATTTTACTGTTCATTAAATTTTTAAAACACAATTCACACTATAATACCCCAGTGTGAATTAGTCACAAAATATAGATGCCTGTCAAGGGGATACTTTTGACCTGGAACAGTGTTGCTAAACTTGTATTTCTTGCTGGCTGAGAACTGTAGAGAGATTTTCAAAGAAAATGTTGGAAAACCTGCAGAAAGAGAACCCTTTATAGATTCCTTTTGGTCAGCTTTTGTCCCCTGGGTTGTAGTCTTGAAAGATTGTGAAAAGACTTGGGTATATAGCCTGGTATACTTTGGACATGACAGAATCTTCTTGCTGGATATCCAGGTTTTATAGTCAAGTCCATTGCATGAAATTGAATAAATAGAATGGAAGAAGTGGAATAAATCCTGGCAGCATCAATACTGTGGTACTCTAATTATTTGTTTTGGACTATGCCAAGGGAGTATTTGAGACAGGGATTATTTGAGACAAACATATATTGAAGTGAGCTACAGTATATAGATCTCTATATACAGTGGTGCCTCGCTGTACGACCGCACCACCCAACGACGGATTTGCCGTAAAACCATTCAAAACCCTGAAAAAGTGTCCCACCCAACAACCATTGTCCCGCCAAGGGACCATTTGTGGCTAGGCAGGCAACTTGGCTTGAAAAAATTTTGTTTCTTCCCCAAACGTCTACTAACCTATTTTTTTTTACATTTTTTCAGAGAATTGAGTGAAGGGTAATACAGTACTTTAGTAAAATTGAGGATGGCACCAAAGAATGGCAAAAAACAGGAGAAATCTTTCATCCATTTGGAAATTCAATATCTTTTTTTCTCACTTGATTCTCTGAAAAAATGTACAAAATAAGTTAGTAATCTAATTTCTGGCACACAAAAATGCACATCAAAAATGGAGTTGTCAGCTTAGTACCCAGCAAATAATGGGGGCGTTGGGCTGTGAACCGTTGAGGAAATGGACTGCCAACGGGTCCTGGAACCCATTCTCAGAATGGTTGGGAGCAGAGCCCAACGACCTGCTGTGGCATTCTCAGGGAAGCGTTCCAGGACTCGTTGGCAGTCCATTCAGAACACGGCTGGAGAAGAAGCCATGCTGAGAATTGTTTTCAAACGGACTCCCAACGTTTCCTGAGCAATAAAAATGCGCCCCTCGTTGAGAGCACCATTCCAGAATGCAGGGCTGGTGCGTTTTGGAATGGTACTCCCAACGTT